GTAGTTCATCAGCTTATTCTGTATGGGAGGGTTGCTGTATCTTAATATGAACATTGGCTTTTTCCTCTTGCTTGTTGTTTAAGCTGGGTTCACGTATCACAATCAAGCCACACATTGTCAGCATTTGTTAAGTAAGCTATAAATAGCTGGATTTCTATCTTATAATAATAAAATTATACATTTACATGATTAACAAATGGATTCTTCACATACCTCATTAAGCCAGGAATAGGTAATCTGTAAGATGTGTGTGATCAGACAGCAAAATACAGTTGGTCCATAACTTATGACCATTTGTGTAGCAACCGTCTGAATTTGTAACAGCACTGAAAAAAGTGTCTTATGATGGTTCTTGCATTTACAACTGTTGCAGCATCCTTCAGTCACATGATCACAATCTGGGTACTTGGCCACACATTCAAAAGGGTTGCAGAATCTGGGGGTCATGTGATCACTACTCGTGAACTTCCCAAGCAAAGTCAACGGAGGAAGCTGGATTTGCATAATGACTGGTGATTCGCTTAACAATCACGGTAAACACAGTCATAAAATGGGTGTGACTCACTTAACTGCCTTGATTAGCGGCAAAAATTCTGGTCCAATTGTGATCGTAAATCGAGTTAGCTGTAGTCAAATTTTGGTGTGCATTTTTTGCTTCAAAAATAATAGAAGACAGATGCTGCAGTTCCCACTCTTCGACTCCTTTTCCCCAAACTGAAAAACAAAATAAGCTGATGTTTTTTACCCTGAACCTTTCTGCTCTCCTCAGCAGATAGCCACTTATGACCCATTAACAGGTCTGAAAGCTGAGCTGTCCTCGCCTACCCACCTGGTAGGTCTGCTCAGTATATAATTTAGTGTGTCATGTTAACTCAGAAAATTAGGTTGAGAAAACCATATTTAGGTTTTGTTGTGCCTAAAATAAATGAAAAACATTTTCAACTTTTTGTTCTTTATTTAAAGAAACATTTTCAAAGGCATCGGGTAACCCGTTGGACAAAATGCTGTGATTAACACAGCTGAATCCTAGAAGCTTTGTAGAATAATGTTAAACATGTCGGAAACATATTAAATAGCTTGTGATTTAGAAAATATATTGCAGATACTCCTTTGTCAGAAATCCACTAATAATTATGCAGGATATTGTCAGCTAACATTGAAAATACCTTTTTAATTTAATTTCATAAAGAATAGGAGAAATGTTGATTCATTCATTGTTTTTCTTGCACTGTTGAAGCTAAATTAGATCTTTCTAATTAGATTATTCTCATTTTCCCCTCAAAAAGTTTTGTATTTATAGGATTATTCAATATCACGCTGGATATTATGATTTCTAATTCTATAGATGGAATATTCTGTCCATTCTTTAAATGCTTCATATTCAAACTTTATTGAACTTTCAGCAGAATGTTTACTCTGTGTTGAATTTGGATGGGAGTGAAGCTGCCTTTCTTCTTTTGTAGTTTTGAGATGGGGTGATTTTCACAAATTAAGGAAAAGTCATTCACATTTCAGCAGATACTGCTGGTTTAAATTTCCCAAAATGCTTTGGAAAAATGCTTTCTAAAATAGAGTTAATCTGGAGAATTTAATTTTACAGCTAAGAATAATACTATGTGAGTTTTATAAGTATTCATTCTTAAAATTTACCTCTCAAAATGGTGGAAATTAATCTTTATGTATTTGTTAAGTTTCTATCCTGGGTTCCCCCCATTATTTTAAAATGGTGAACTTTCATTTTCCCTCAGAACAGCATCCATATGAATAGATTGGTCTGGAAAGCAGTATGTTCAATGTTTAAATTAACCTGTATAAATTCACCACAGGATGAAACTAAATCAAAAACATGCAAAAGATTACAGTGGTGCATAATATATTACTTTTACTTGTGATACCCACTCTTATTTTCTGCAGCTGTGTCTGCAATTTAGAGCATTATAAAAGGAAATAATCTAAACTCTGATATGTTGTTCAGTTGCTAACTCATGTCTGACTCTTTGTGACCCCATGGACCATAGAATGCCAGGCCCACCTGCCCTCCACTGTCTCCCAGAGTTGGTTCAAATTCATGTTCATTGCATTGATGACACTATCTAAGCATTTCACCCTCTGCTGTCCCCTTCTCCTTTTGCTTTCAATCTTTCTCAACATCAGGGTCTTTTCCAAAGACTCCTCTGTTCTCATTTGGTAGCCAAAGTATTTGAGCTTCAGCTTCAGTAGCTGTCCTTCTAAAGAATAGTTAGGGTTGATTTATGCACATTAAGCATATAATTAAAGATCTTTAGTTAAGGTTGCATTGATTCAGAGATACCAATTACAGATATTGGATTGGATCTAGGTCAGTTTTGAGCTATCTATTCTCCAACTGTCAGACCTGCCACAAACTTAAAGCTCTATGTTAAAAACAGAAATTGAAACATTTCAGAAGCCAGTTATGTTAATTTGAACGGATTAAGGCCAGTAGCAAAATAAAACTTTAAAAAATTAAGATCTTAATGAGAAGCAGCTCAAACTAAAGTCCTGTTTAAGAACCTGCAATGATGGAAATTAACATAGAATACACACCTCAATTTAGTTTATGTAATTTAGCATATAAACTTTTGCATTTTACAGCTTCAGGAAAGAGCTGTATATTTATTCTGTTAGCTCTTTATGTGGAAAAAATGGTACAAAACTCACCCACTGCATTCTGGACTGGAGGAAAATATCACAAGTTATACCAATACCACCTAGCAACAGCTAATGACTGATCCAGTAACTGGAGGAATTCAAAAGATTTCCATCAGAATAGATCATGTCTGTAATCTGAAAGTCATATTGCCTTCTTTCTCATGCATTTTCATCTTTTTGTAATATACATGCAATAACAAATGTGGAATCTATCAGAATTCATCCTTGAATAAATTCTTTAAGTTTCTCAATTTGGGCTGTCCTGCTTAACAAAAATGGTAATAAAATGTTGTTTTCTTCTCCCCTGCCCTCTTTTTTCATTTAGGCAACAAGAGCTGCATTAACACACCACTGTGAAAATCTGGGAGACTCACTAGGCAAAGAAAATGATATTGCTCTGATTATAGATGGCCAGACTTTGAAGTATGCCCTGTCCTTTGAAGTGAGGCAGTCCTTCTTGGACCTAGCATTGTCCTGCAAGGCTGTCATTTGTTGCAGGTAAGAAATACACCTTAAGTCCACTGCACTCAATGGATTTACCTTTAAGAATATACTGTATACTCAAATAAAAGGCTCAGCAGTTAAGACACTGGGTTTGTCATCTGGAAAGATTTGAGACCTGAGTGCCATGTGACGGGATGAGCTCCCATCCTTGCTCTACCTCCTATCAACCTAGCAGTTTAAAACATGCAAGATAAATAGGTACCACTTTGGTAGAAAGGTAACAGTGCCCTGTAATGTCATGCTGGGCACATGACCGTGGAAATATCTTCGGATAGCACTGGCTCAATGGCCTTGAAACAGAGGTGAGCACCACCCCCTATGGTTGGCAATGATTACCTTTTATATACTGTGTATGTATATAGATGACAGTTGTTAGCATAAATGGTACTGTAAGATTCTTTTAGTATGGACAAATTCAATATTTAATTTAAATATGGCAGCTGCCTTCTTTCTATGCTGTAAAAAGTATATTTAGATGTATTACAAACTTAAGGACAATATTAGATTGTTTAAAAAATATAACAGTCATGCTTTTGCTATATAACACTTGAACTCAAGCCAACGTATCAAGGTAGATTGTCACATATGGGACATATTGGATTTTTGTTTGGTTTTGTGTATCATTTTCTGAATGCTATTGGCCTTTGAAGTAATACTCTTGTTTATTTGCATTCAGTTATTATTTGCTCAGCTAATGTTCCCGGCATATGGCTGCTTTATGATTGCACCGAAAGTTTAGCAAATATTTGAAAAAGTTATGTGTTGTGTCCTGAGCCTGCTAGAGTAGAAAGCGGGCTCAGAATTGTTGGAAATGGTCCCGGGCAAACCAAAAGCTGCCCGGGACCAGACAGGGTGGCGCCAGCCTTGTGCGCATGCGCAAGGCGTGAAAACGGTCAGTTCCTATTGGTTAACACTGTCTGGGTCTAAGGCCCTATAAAAGGCCTGCGTGCCTTTTGCTGCTTGCTTGGTTGTAGGAGAAGAGTAATAAAGAGCTTGTTGTGTTCACCATGTGTCTTCGTCAATTGCTAACGAACAGAATACACAAAATTATGAATATTGGTTAGATCCTAAAGCTGATATAAAATAGTATTCTTGGTGAGAGCTCTTCTATACTCTGTATTGTTAACCCCAACTACTTGTTTATTTTTAACTAACCTTATTGATACAGATAATGGAAAGAAGGTCAGCGTATCTGGTGATGTACCTCCATTTTCCTGCAAACCAAGCCCAGATTTATTGCTTTTTCATTTTTAAAGATTTCTCTTGAGAACCAGCATCAACAGTACTTTATGCCTAAAGCCAAAAAAATAAATACACCATATATCTTAAGTATATTTAAAGTTATGTTGAATGGCAAATGCATCTGAAGTACTGTTCCCCTGTGTAAATGAAAAGCTAACTCCTAATATATGCTCCATTAAATCCTTTGAATGCATGCTATTTTATATTGACAGTTGCGAACCATAGTCTGTCTAGCTTTGAAAAAATATTGTAGCATTGGGTTAAGAAATAAAGATGGACCCTAATTTTACCCTCTCTTCCCACTATTTAATTTGAATACCTCCACTATTTAATTTGAAATTTCCTCTTCCCTGTGGCAATTCTATTTCAGCTTTCTTCCTCCGTGGCTTTAAAGTACAGCGTCTTATTTGACATGCAGGAGTATGATTAAAGCAGCCCAGAGTGGGATAAAAAATGTTTTCTTTTCTCCACGAGCACCTGGCAAGTGAAAGGAATATTCCTGTAAAGCCATACAGGCTGTTAAAGGCATTCCTCATTCTCCCTGGAGAAACCCAAGTCCGCTCCACTTTCTTTTATTTTCCCTTCTTCAACCTCTGAAATTACATCATGTCTTTTATTTCTCCTTTGAATCATTTTACAGTATCAATATTTTATTGCACTTTTAAACATTGTTCTGTGGGGTGTTTGGTGCTTTGAAGGGTTTTTGCTTGTTTTTACTTTTAAATTTTCATCTTAAGACGCTCTGATAATTAAAACTGGCCACCACCATATGGAAAGAGGATGACTAATGTTGGCAAATTCTTGGCAATAGAAGGGAATTATAATCAATCAACCATGCTGTCAGTCAAATAGCTCACACTAAGACTTTGGAGATGGAAATTAGTTTGACTATATAGACTGCTCTTACGAGGACTGACTTTATGTAAAGAAAGAAGCCACAATTCAGAACTTTAGGATTTCCCTTCTTCAATGTTACAAGAAATACACTGAACCAATAATTGCGGTGACATGTATATTCAATATGGAAGAAAGTACTGTAAGGCATTAATGTTTTGGTGTATGCTCATTTGAACAGTCAGCATGCCCATGACTGTGAAAATTATGGCAATCAAGGAACAAAGTTGGAGATAGAAGATTTCATGAATTTGTGAGAATGTTACCAGTTATGTGTCCTTTCAGACATGATGTGAAAAGGGCTTTAATATAAACTGCCAATGCCAGTGGAAATGGGAATTGTATCTCTGTTTTCTTAGCCAATCTTTTTTCTTGTTGTTTGTTCTGCTTTCAAATGATCTTAATTCTGCACTTAAGTAATTTTGCCAGAGGTGTTCTTCTGTACGTAGTGACCACTGTATGGAAGTAAGAGGAAAGCAGTCATGTGGTGTCACATTGTAAGCTTTACTCCTGCATCACATCTGTGAAAAGGTCAGAGTTTGTAGTATGAGAGTTCAGTGCTGCTCTTGTCATTTTGATAAAAAGGACGAATCCCACAGATGCCTCTGAACTCCATAGGTTGAATCTGTGATCTCTTGCATACAAAACAGGAGGCTGTTTGAGGCCGCTTGTAGCCTCAAGCGTTCCTATAGTGGTTGTGTGGGATAGTGTGGCTGAATGTCTTTATTGCAACTGAGCGCTATACTATAATTTGTTCTGTGATATTGTTTTAAAAAAAATCACCGGTAACAATGCAAACAAGAGAGAGGAAGAACTCTTTCTTCTCTCTTTCTTCCTGCCACCACTTAGAAGAAATCTCTCTAATCTAGCTCACAAAATAAATGAAAGTCTCTGCAATTTTATCCTAAAATATTTATGCTCAGGCCTAATTTGTTCCTGCAGTGGTCAGCTCCCACCTGGTTATTATAATTTCATTTAGATGGTCTTTTTATTTATAAATTAGATCAGTAAATATTGAGAACCCCACCATTGACATGGTGACTTGTTGATTTTTATTATAAAAGATGCTCCCCATCTGGCCTGTGACTTAAATTACTGCGACTTAAATTAAATCATATTTCTGATTAAGAATATGCAAACTCGAATAACATTAATTGGTCCCAAAGAAAATTATGTATGTGTTCTAATTTCCCATATATAGTCCTTTGACTTTCCCTCCCTGCTCCCATCTATCAGCTATTGAATTATCAATGCTTATTATCTAGTACTACCTCTGACAATTCATGACAGCCCAATGCTCGTCTTCTGACTTTGAAAACCGTAAGGGAAAGATCGTTCTGGCAGCTTTCATGTGTGCATGCAATTGAAGGTGGAGGAAATATGGAGAAAGCAGTCAGGTCTGCCGCATCCCAAAAGTTTTTCCTGCTGACCACTGGGAAGTGCCCCTTTAAACTGAATGTAATTGATATTTTTTTTCACAGATTCCTTATACAAGTTCCTCCTTGGGGACGCATGTAAAACATGTTGCAACCCTAATTTACTATGCTTGAGGTGGCAAATTTCTCTCCCTTCTTTCTTCCTCCCCCCTCCCCTCAAATCACACAGGGCTTTTCATTTGGAGGTTTAAGGTTAGCAATTTCTGAGTTTTATTATCCTTGTCATCTGCAACACTTTGCAGAATCAGCAGGAAAGCCAGGTTAGTTACCACAGGATGGCCTGGTTTCTGTTCATCTTTGTCAATCAGCTCCCTGAACTATAACAGAGATCTTTAGCATATCAGAACACGAAAACTAATGTATTTGAAGCAGAGAAGGACAACTCTTCTCAGATTAAGAACAGCATTTTGTTAGGGGCCACAGTACAAAATGGGTGATGTAGAAGAAGAACAGATAGACCAAGGCAACAGAATTAATAGCAATAGCACTTAGACTTATATATACAGTGCTTTACAGCCCTCTCCATGCAGCTTACAGGATCAGCATATTGCCCCCAACAATCTGGGTCTTCATTTTACCAACCTCAGAAGGATGAAAAGCTGAGTCAACCATGAGCCGGTGAGAATCAAACTGTTGGCAGTCGGCAGAATTAGCCTGCAATACTGCATTCTAACCACTGCGCCACCATGGCTCTAATTAACCATGTCATTAGAGTTTACAAGAGATCCAGGTCAAGCCTCCCTTGAATTCCCTGGATATTTATCTAGCACCAATTTAGTGCTGTTAGTTGATTAGATTTTTGTGCATAGACTTGAATAAATCTTCTGTGCTGCAACCTTATGAATGGTCCTGATTCCTTGACTTGACAGGTAAGAACAGTCAAGGCAAAGACATTGTGCAACCAGGGCAAAAGTCAATAAAAAGGGTAAAATTAAAAGTAAAATGACTAATTTATATTAAATCATTCAATATATGTAATTTGAGTAGTCCCCATGTGTTAAATACTTTCCTCTTTTGTAGCACTGAGCATTGCCATGCAGGAGCAAATTGAGGAGGGTTGGTAAGTGGTTTCATAGGTCCCAGATCAGAAACTATTCCCCTCTTTTGATAAGGGAGAAAAAAAGTCATCCCAGTCAATTATCTGATAATAGAACTTTACATGATGACAGTGATATCAAACTGGCAGTTGCTTTCTAATAATTACATTTTTATTTGCAGGGAATAATCGATAGATACAAATCAAATATTTAGCTATTGCCATGCAGATTGAATCATGAACCACCAACATCAACTGTACACAGTTTAAAATCACTTTTCAGGATAGATTAATATGTGAATAACAGAACAGAATAACAGTTGGAAGGGACCTTGGAGGTCTTTTAATCCAACCCCCTGCTCAGGCAGGAAACCCTATACCATTTT